GCTTGAAGGAGTATTCTGCTGATTAATACATGCATGGCGCCATCTACCGATGTAAACGTGTCATTACACACTGATAGGATAGAAAAGGTAAGTTATCAGAGCCATCACTATGAATTACTACAGTACACGATGAAATACTACACTATGAATTACTACACTATGAAGTACTACACTATGTACTACACTATGAAGTACTACACTATGTACTACACTATGAAGTAGACTATGAATAACTACAATATGAATTACTACACTATGAAGTACTATACTATGAATTATAAGGGTATTATTTATATGTGGTATTGTCCACAGTGTTTAATGTATTACATGTCTGTTATATGTAATATAATGTAATTTAAAAGCAAAATAAATATAATGAATTATTATAATAAAAGCAATCATTTGTAAAACATACTCTGTCACAAGTCCTACATTAAAAAAAGTAGTACTCAATATGTGTAATGGACCATTTCATTATTATATAATTTTGATGACCGGATTATGATTATTGATGCATTAATCACAGCTGGTAAAGATGGAGCTTATTGGAGTGACTGATATCTTATACTGCATGTATACTGTATATCTAGTTAATTTAAAGTTGATTTATATTTCTGTTGGCTGGTAATTGGATTTAAGTAAATTAAGCTGCTGTAAAGTAATACATCTATTGCAGTAAAAAGTACAATACCGGCTTTGAAATTGTGGTGGAGTATAAGTATCATATCATAAAATGTAAATACTGAGGAAAAATACCACAGTTAAGTACTTGTACTAAAGTAGCCTACTTGTAGAGAACATGTATTTTGTTACAATCTATAGGATAATTGTATATGTTGTAAAGCAGGGTGCAGGGTTGGCTTGCATAATTACAGATCTGTTTAATACAGGGGTAGATGTACTGTAAGCTGTATAATTATATATTATTTAAAAGTAGTATGATTGAGAATCAGAGTTAGTGTGTGCACAGACAGGAATTTTCCTTAAAGGTGGGGTAGGTACGTTTGAGAAACCGGCTCGAGATACACTTTTTGTTACTGTATGTGTCGTCCTATACGTGCACGTATCTCTTTTGCACTTTGACTGTCAGCTAAACACCTTCCACCATCAAGGACTAGAGACCGTAGATGTCGTTTAATTGCTTTTAATCATGAAGAAAGGGTGAAACTAGGAAATAAACACAATACAAGAAGTATTATGCGGAAGAATATTTACACACATTATACATTGAATCAACACCAATAACATACACACACGTGGCTGTAGCACAAAATGATGGCTGTAGCTAATGGTAGTTCTACAGAGGAGTTTACAACACACATTAACTATCATCTCAAAACTATTCTCTATCAACATATTCATTGGAAATGAAAGAACACTACGTTTATATCAATTGTACGTACCAATAATGCGACCAAAGGCACGGAACGTCAAGGATTAGGGCAGATTGTGGTCACCAAAAAAACATGTGGCTGTCCTATTCACATGCAGCTTCCTTATGCACTAGGTCACATGGTACATATTTTACACATTACGACCACCGCCAGCAGGGGGAGACAAATCCAACAAATGAACAACAATGTCCTCATCAGGACAGAACACTCCCTTCCTGGTATCTATAGATAACACCTATTAACTGAGCTTCTAAATATCCATGTTCGAAAGTCTGTAATAGGTCTGAGGAAAAGCTTAGCACCATCTTCTCTGGTGATCTTGACCTCTACGATGCGGACCTTTTTCATCTTTGCTCGGGAATGCCTTGGTGACCAATGCCAATGGCATTGCCTCTTTGATTGAGAGTCATTCACATGAAAAATAGTTCCAACATCAATGTTTGGCTTGCTTCTGTGCCACTTACTCCTTGTCTGCGAAGTTGAGAGGTACTGCTTCCTCCAGTTGCTCCAAAAGGCATCTGCAAGGAATTGAACCTGACACCAGTGATGCTTGTACAGGCCTTTGGGGGTGAAATCCCCCGGAGGAGCTGAGATGGTACCTTTCTTCTGTGTGAGTAGGGTAGCAGGGGGTCAAGCACCCAATGGATCTGGAGGATGCGGTGGATATTGGACGCCCCATAGGGTCTTGCGTGTCATGATAGGGCCGCCTACTTTTCTGCCAAAATAGTTATGAGAGCCTCATGTCTGCTCCAGCCACGGACGCTGTCAATGTTTGAAGGAACCTGGACAGCTCCTTGGCAGGCTCCTGGGAAATTGGTGCCTTATCTGAGCGGATATGCTATAAAATTAACCATTCCTGAGGGGAGAGAGACATTTAAGGTTATGTGATCGGTTGTCTGGACGATGTCGCGCTCTATGCCTCCCTTGAAGGGGGAAGGGGTAACCCCAGTTGTTGGCATTCATCCTTTCGGGAACGCCCTTCTTCCATGGTCTTTATGAAAGACCTTGTCTTCAATCGAAGGAGCTATTTTGTTATCTTGCTTAGTTCTTTGGAAGCAGCTGTAGCACCGCAAGATGGTTCTTGCTCCTTTTGTCACAAGGCGGTGGCTGTCATCACTGAAGTAGCTCTTTGTGGGGTCAGTTGATGTAAAGTCGCTGTATTTTTCTTTTGATGAGGAGGCGATTCGGACAAGGTTCGAAAGAGAGATGGGACGACCGTTCTCTAGCGTGCTTGTGAAGGAGGTGTTCACACCATGGATGGCTTATTGAACATTTTCCCAAACGGACGGTCTCCCACGGATGACCCATCCCTAAGGTCGAGCCTCTGAGTAATAGGGTGCATCGTGAGGAACCATTGATCTGTTCGCCCGCACCCAGTGTGTAAAAAAAAAAAAAAAACTGCTTATTTTCTTATTATGTCCCTTCCAAGGAGAAAGCAGTGTTGGAGCGTTGGTTGTCATCTTAGGAAATCTGAAAGCAGTACAGGATCTCAGGTTGTGCGTGGTGGAAGCGCAGCTTCTGGAGTGGGGGATTTCTGATCTGTTGTTAGCGAATGTCTGGTTAGACTCCCATTAGCCTAGGTGATAGATACGACAAACCCTGGCCATTGAGAGATTCCGATTTGGAAATCACTCGCTCTTCTTTCCAGCTGTTCTACCACTCCTGCGCATGTCTTTCAGTGAGGTAAGGTGACTTGGGGCCTTGTATCTTGAAAAGATCCAAAGAACCTGGGGAGGGCAAGTGATCTGTTCTTTGATCGTCCCGAGGATGGCATAAAGCTTTACTTTGCTTTGTCCCTGGATGCACTTGAGTGGAAGACTCTAACAAGAGATATCTCTTGAACACGCGACGCTGGCTGGTCAGGTCCTGCCACCGCAGACGCTGGTACACAGGGGCTGCAAGCTCAGCAGGTTGTAGCTTCCCGACAAAATCCTCCCCGGCCATACCCATGGCAGGGTCAATGGCTTTGCCTTCGCAGGTTGGGGGGGTCCTGGAAAAATTTTTGTAGAGGCTGTGTTGTGAGCTTTCACTTTGCGGCACTCGGAGCA